AGCCTCTTTTAAACCATTAAAATTATGATTTGCAACTATAAAAATAAGAAAATCTATTGGCCGGCAAATCAATTAAATGTTTTTTTAGACTGAAGTTATTGCAGTAACTATAATTAACCTTAAAAAATTAATGGAGTCTCCGAGACCAGCCAAAGTAATAAACATATCACAAAGTATACTGCTAAACGCTGGTACAACAAAAAATACTTTGGTATAGTATGATATCTTTTTATTTTAAGCGAAGGAATGTGTCTACCAGGAATGCATAGAAGTCACAATACTGATATCTGCTGTCATTGGTGGAGCGTATACAGTCAAGTGACAAAATGCAACAGCGGGCGAGAGATTGGTCGGATTATGTAAAACAACAGGTTCGACCGGGATAGAAGTGGGTCGGTGAGCTTTCCACCGCTTCGGTCCTTAGCCTCGCCAACAACTACACTAGCACACGAAAACGAATCTTATTCTTAACTACACCAAAGACTATTTCGGTATGTAGCCAAAGAAAATCATGAAGCCATTGCAGAATTATTGAACTCGAACGAATTCGCCAATAAAATATGCAACTGGTTTTGATTTCAGAAATGCCTTTGGCCTTTGTGTTTCTTCTAAAATCGTGCCTTTCTGAATAGGTAGGACGAGTACTACCGGAGGATAAAATAAATGAGGTATTTGCAATCGCTTTATCCGCATACTGTGATTGCAATTTATTTATTTGTGTTCATTTAGTGTTATTCCGATCTGAAAACATTTATTTACATTTCAAGTTAGTTGCAGGACATATTTTGGTGGACATTTTATGCAATGGATTTCTATATTCCATAACCATAGATATTTTGTTATGAGATGAGAGATGAGGTTAGTAATAATCTGCTATCGCGAGCATCTTTAGAATATGGTGACGCCTTACCATCAGCCAGTTCATATGTTTTTCAGGTTTTATAATTATTTACAAAAAAGAATATCGGTTGAATTTTACCAAAACAGAAGAAACGTTGGTAACCACACACGGTGTTTCGTATAAATGATAATTATATAGCGGAAAAAAGCAATTCCATGTTATTACTCAATTTTGAATACCTACAATTTTTTTTTGTCGAGTTTTATGACCTATCTCACACATGTAAGCAAAGTCATGGTCAAAATCTAGGGAAAAATAGGTATTTAGATAATATTTATGTTATTTTTATTTCCTGCTGACTTTTTTACTTAGTTTCCTGGTTTTTAGGAAGTGTCATTTTGTAAAGTCCAATCAGTGTGTCCATATAGGTTGAGACCTGTTCCGTACCTTCAACACTTTCCCCGGCTCCCACGCGACATGTTGGCAACAAGTTGATAAAGGATCATATGATATGTTTTTTTTATCTGAACATACCGGTAAAGGAGTTTCACTTTAACTAACATTACATTAAGAAATTAGTTTGTATAATCCGACAGTTTTGGATAAATTTAGATTTTAAAGAATTGTTAAATATTTTTTTAACAGCTTTTACCGTTGCAGGAGAAACAAAAGTATTAAGCCAGTAATAAAAACTATCAAACTTTTAAAACTAACAATAAAAAATACGATAAAAAAATTACCACTTCCGGGATCCGAATCTTCCGCTATTCCGTCTGAAATTTGAACCGGCCCCCGTAGCATGAGCACTACAATTTATATTATATCACGGTTTTTACCGCTTGCAACTGTCAAACTCGATAGTAATTTGACAGTTGAGCGTGATAAAAATGCGTTATATAACATATCGAGGTGCTCATGCTAGGGGGGCTGGAAAGAGTACATTTTTTCCAAGTAAAAAAACAATATCATAACCTATCAAAGCTTTTTCTGTGGCACCAGCGTTTACTTTGTGATATGTTACTTACAACTGAAAGTAAACAACTTACAGATTTGATAAATGCACACGGTTTGACATTATGATTGCGCAATACGATAGCAAATAATATGCACTCTATTCCACACATAAATTCAATATTTTATTGGAACGTATCATCATCTCATCCGATCTGTGATAATTCTGCAATCTACATTGCATAATGCATTTAAAACAGGTCCTATATCGACCGTGGATTCTGCCGCTCTTTTATTAAATTGTCGGCAGATGGCAAACGAGTTTCATCCGGTGGAGCTTTCATTGAGATCTCATTAAATTTATTATTTGCAAGTCGAATCTTCGAATAAAAGTACGTCATGAAATACCAGTACTACATACTTTACAATGTAAAACAAAATAACTTGTGTTTATTCAACATCATAAGAGATACTAGGAAATAGATTATAATTTAGAAGGGACAGAGCATAGCGCATTTTAATGTTTAATTTGACCCTTTGACACTTGTACCAAAACTCTACATTAAATTAAGGCTTAACACACCATTGTTGTAATATTTTTGTTAGTTGTTTAAAGTCAAGTAAAGATTGCGACCTAAACATGGTTAGCTTTTAAAGGACAATGTTAAAATTGGCCTAAGAACCAACACCAATTTGGCATTTATGATAATTCCTAGTATATTTTTTGCGATAATTATCAGTATTTAGATTGTGACGGACACTTCCAGTTAAGTAAGCTAAATTAAAAATTTGAAAATAATCTGAGACAATAAATACCATTTTATGTGTATAATCTATGGCAGCGCTGCAAACAAAACACTTTCTTTCTAATGCCGGCACTTCACTTGGCTATTCGTATTTGCTATTTTAAAACATGACATCAGTGTCCTTTTCATTCCTTATTAAGCATGACAAGGACAAACTGATGTTAAGTGAAGGGCCGGCATAAAACTCGTTACTCTGTGGTTGTGGTGCAGGCAGTTTGCATTCGTAGTAATCTGTGACATTCGTGCATTCCAAAGAGTAGTCTAATATACTGGAAAGTGCATTCTCGTTTCGGATTACCTGTTGTGTGTGTTTATTTGCGATTGTTTTTCCTTTTATTCAACTATTTCGGCTATCTAATATGCCATCGATGTTACCAAAGAGCAGAACCCTTATTTCCAAGTGCTAGTGAACCTGTGCCACAACATCCTGAGAGGATCATACTGCCAAATTATTCAAGAACACCTGATACACATTCACGCTGCATATTTACACAATATACATGTGATATACAAATAAATACAATATGATACAATTATGTGAAAAATAGTCAATAAATAAGAAGCAAAACTACAGTTTTTATTTTATTCATGATTCCTACATTACAAAGTTTTTCCTAATATTTATTCTTTAAAATCGCACCTGATAAAATGAATTAGTTGTAATATTAATTCACTTCATACTAAATTCATAGGTTGACCTGTTTCATTAAATATTAAACATAACCTCAAAAAATTTTTAGTATTCCTAATAATTTAAGCTCTCAGAAGTGTCCGTCAATAATCTTTCTTTTAACAGTCATTTACTTACGATTTTGAACCTAGAAAATAATATTTCATGATTGTTGGTTCTTAGGCTAACTATGTATGGACGCTGAACAATGTCCTTTGATTTAAAATCTTTGGTGCAGGCCTAAGTGATGAGTAACTGTGAAACGTAACGATACATGATCTATATGTTCAGGATCTACCTACTTTTAAACTAGACTTACATTTTCAAGTTTAGGTGAACAAATAATAATTATGTGTGTGTGTAGTAATTTTACATAATCTGACCTTGACTATTGTTGTTCAAGGGCGACGTCACCATCCGCCGAAGCCGGAACAGCCCCATCATGATGACACGATGCCATGCTACCTCCATTAATGAGCGCGGGAAAATAGTGATGGGAATATATCGATTGTGTTGGTTATAATCATTTTTATAATTCTTTTTAACCTCACGTAAAAATGTAGTATTACTTAATTGCATACAATCCAGTCATTAAAGTAGGCAAAACAATATTACTTTATATATACATATTATGTAATTATATTTATTTTCTTGTCTGTGTACCTGACGTTTATATGTGACATATGAGTAGTTTAAATTACTTATTATATGTTTAAATTATTTTACGATTAGACACCCAGGGTAACAGGGTAATTTGTGTGTAGAGATAATATTCAGTTACGGAAACGATACGCTTCGTATCGTACAAACAATAGTTAAACCAATTAATGTGCAAAGACGACAAATTTTAAGCAAAATGATTATTACTGAAGGCTAAGCGTATCGAAAATAACCGGGGAAAAAATCATGATCGCGTTTTTATGAATACGAGCTATTTGTTTTTTTAATAAACATATGAGCAAGGAAGAGCATATGGGATACCTATTGAAGTAGTATTTTTATCTGTGCTGCTTTTTTGAACTTATTGTGATTTTAATAGCGTTTATTTTAATAGTGTTACTCACAGTATTTAGGTGAGCACAACATTTTCATTAGTGACTACTAAAAAGTATACATACATTTATGTACTTTTTAACTAGTCACCAATGAAAATGTTATACCCAAATATTATCATTATAATGAATAGGCAGTTGTTCTTAGATTGTTCCGAAATAAAATTCTTTTTATACCACAGGAAAGAGGAAACATAATTTATTTATATTTGGAATAAATAAATGACATTGCATTTTTTGTGCGTGAGTTTGGATATAACCTAAGTACTGGACAATATAAGATTCGCATCGTAGACTTAAGCAAGGTCGACAGTTATTATTGGTATTTTTTTATTGAGAGCCATATCACGTGGAAACGGTCACGTAAGCATCCGAAAGACTGTTCCGACTGAAAATAATTTGGTAGGATATAAGATAAAACCAAAAAAAAAGGAGGATTTACCTTGTTATAGACGCAAGTGCCGTTATGAAATAGTTATGAATATGATTACAGCATTCACTTTTTAATTTTCAGGATATTAATTGCTATTTCCTTATACATTTTCTGTACTTTTTTTTTGTTTTAATATAATATTTAAATTCTATGTTCTGATAATAAATAAAGGGCAGCTGATTTTTAAAATCAATATCTTTTAACAAAGATAAAAACAACTTCGCAAAAAAAAAATTGTTACACTCACCAAGGCTATACAGCCGAGTTGAAGAAACCGGTGTAATCCGAAGAAATCAAACACTACACTTATGTAATAATAATGTCAACGTGTCGGTCACAATCACAAATCTGCCAGTTGAACACCAGTCCAATGCAACAGGTCAATTAATGATAAAATCGACCGACTGAATGTTCCATTTCCAAACTGCGGTCAGTAATGAATTGCTTCGTTATCTGGAACAAAAGAAAGTTTACAATTATTATTATTATAAGAAACATAATTCAGTTATACATTTAGGGCACTTGACATAGGGTATATTTCCCTCCGGGGTATGTTGGACCAAGTGTCCAGTTCAGTGTGTCAAAATGACAAGGAAATAATGCCTAATTGTTAAAATGCCCAGTTGTCATAACATCCAGGTGTCAAAACAACAAAGTCTTAATTCCATTTTCCGTTTTGTACGCTAGCACCTCATTTGTTTTTGATCATGATAGTAAACAAACTCACGCTTCGCTTGATGGTGATAGGCTATCGTAGCCTATGGACGCTTAACATAATAAACCTGCAAATATTCTAATTATAGCGTGGCTTATGTTACTGACGAGAAGCGATGGCGTTTGCGCATCCAGTGCGGTCAGCAAGGGTCAAGTTTTTCGTTGCTGACTTTCTATTATAACAACCCAATAGTTTCATGTAGCTGGAATCATACTATACATATATGATACGATGAGGTAGTCATACTATGCTATCAAGGGTAGATATCTCTCGGTTCAGATTCTGTATCGTTTTTGAATCATGTTCGGGTTTTCTTGTAAAAACTATTTAGCAAAGCATTACAGTAACGCACTTATCCCCTCATCTGTGTAGCCATCTACTTTGTTTTTCACGGCCGGAAAATCAAAATAGTATTCCGGCCGATTTTCCTCTTATTATTCGAGTTCTACTGTACCTCCAGGCTTTATTTATGTCTCAAATCAATCCTGAATAGTTTGTCTAAAAACTTATATTTATATTAGATGTGTAAATTAAAAACCATTACTAAATATGATAAAACGCAAAATAGGAAATATGAAAATAATTTTTTCAACCGCTGGCAGAAATCATCGACTTACACAGCATGGGGATATTTGAAGTAAATACTTTTATAATAGTTAAAATAGACAGGTTAGAGCAGAATTTTCATGACCATGGTTTGCCATAGTTAAACATACTATTATCATTTTTAACAGCGTTCTTAAGTTTTTTTAATGGTGTGTAAGTAGTTAAGATTGAAACGGTAAATTTGCAAAGCTTTTTTATGAGAGTAGGTAATTTGTAGTGGCATTAGATCAGGCATTGAAATATAACTATATTTTTTTTTTTAGAAAAAAAATTAACAAAACAGGCTCTTAAACGTAAACATAAATAAAATATAAGGAAACGTTAATATTTTTAACACTAAGAATAGGTTTTAGAGTTACTTAAACTGTCAAGACATAAGCTAAGCTATCTAAGCAGTAAGAGATCTTTTTATTTGCATCGATCGGACGTCCAATATACAAATAGAAAAAATACTTTAAATAATTTAAGCATTTAACTGCTAGATTTATAAATCTAAAGAAAATTATCACGTGTGCCAGGCACCAATCGGGTTTCAAACCCGCACCTACTTTCTATTAGCCCGGATTGTTGAAGGTGCGGCTTCGAATCCCGTCTGAAGCTGCGGAATTGGACAGCGTGGAATTTTTCTTTTAAGGTTTTCTTTAGAAATATTTACGTTATAGTTTTTTTGTTTTTTAATTGGTACTAAACTATTAAAGTATGGAGCAGTTTGAATAGAAACTTGTTTATAAAACGACGTAGTTTTAAACCGGCTATGGATAGACGTTAATGGAGAATAACATAATTAATACAATTTTACTTTTGACATTATTAGTAGGCTCTTAATTAGTTATGAGTTTCATAAAATAATTTGTGTTTAAAGTTTAAATAGCAGTAAAATAGTAACTTAACTTGGATCACTCTCATGATTAGAATTAAATAATTATGTATAGCATAAATATGACAAATGTATTCGCATTATTTAATATTTATTTGCAAACAAAACAAAAATAAACAGTAGATACTTTATAACTCATTCAGGAATGAAATAGACTTTTGTGCGCAACTTAGGTACCCAGTTTACAAAATAGATTAATTCCCAAGTAACTGAATAGAATTTAAAGTTTAAAATAGATTTTTTTAAAGTTTTTAAATTAACGTACACTATTTCAGTCAGAGATTTCACTAAAATACCGAACGAAACGTTGCATCGCTTTTTTCTTGACAATCCGATCTTGGTTATTACATCACAACGACATTCAGTTTAAGCGTTGTAAATATTCAAGATTGCTAAATAATTTCAATGAAATAGTCTAAAAAAGGTTAATTATGTTTAGTTTATTATCCTGTCCTACATTTCCATAGTTGTAATTTGTCAAAACAAATATCAAACTTTTTTTAATTCCGAATTTGTATTCAACCACTATAAGGTTGAAAATAAATTGGTAATTTTACATTTTTCTATACATATAATCTGAATGGCTGCTGTGTGCACATAATTTGTAAAATGCTTAGAAAAGTTCAGATTAAATCAGTGTTTACTCTTAAAGTTACCCTGTCTGTCTGTTTATCTGTCTACATACCTGTTAAGTTTTTACGCATAAACAGCAAGAACAATTTTTAAGTAAGAAGAAAGCATTTTGTTAAAGTAATCAAGAAAATCTTAGGTTATGCCTTCGTCAATAACGGAATTGTACAATCCCTGAAAGATTTTGCGCACTGGTTTTCCGTCTGCTGTCAGAAATTCTGCTGTGATTCCGTTATCTCCTGGCGCCTTTTTGTCATTCAGTTGTTTTATAGCAATACTAAACTTGCTCTCTTAGGTTGTCGTACGGGATATCTTCGGTATAGCATTGGGTTAATTTGGCTCTGGGGCCGCCCTAAGCTCATCAGGTTTTTGTATTGAGGTGTAAAACTGTCCATAGTAGTTCTCGACCTCCCTTAAAATCTCAGGCTTGGAGGCTTTTAACCAAGGATAATTTATTGTAGCCAAGGTCTGACTTGGCTAGTTCTCATATAGCTTATGGCCTAGATTGAGACACAGGATAATTTTTATTCCGGAAATATGTAAAAATTCTGTGGGATTCTCAAAATACTAAAGTAAATGCGGACGGACTGTATGGGCATTGTTCTTTTTGCCTTCCCTAAAAAGGGAGAACGTTAAAAAATGTAATACGTAGTTTTTTTTAAGTTTCATCCGTTTTAAAAAAGTCGTTTTTTGGCAAAGTCGTGAGCGGCCTCTATCTTGACCTGTTTTCTTAACTTGTACCCTTCCGATTGCACAAAACATTAAATAGTTCCTTTTCATATAATTCCGTTAACAAATCAATGAACTTCGCCGAGTCTATCTTCCTTTATTAAAAATAGCTTTTTCACTATTATAGTTGTCTAAGCAAAGATATTGCAATGATTGGATGATAAAAAACGCATAGCAGCTGCAATTATTCGGACAGCCCTCTGTGTTCAGTTTCTTGTGACATTTCTGTGTTATTAGGTCCCTTAATAGATGAATGAAATGAAATGAAATGAAAAAAAACCTTTATTTTATCTTTAATAAATAGAATTTGTGCTTAACTAATCGTAAAGGACACTTTTTTAAGACTTGTAACTAAATAACATATTTTCTTCTAATCTATGTTTAAAACGACGTCGTTTGAGATTAAGCTATATCAATAGTTATTTATTATACAAGAGTGGAAAGTTCCTTTTTAACCGCGTACTCGATTTGGATGACCGAGCAAGCGAAGGATTCTAAAGTTGAATCACGAGCGCAGCGAGTGATTCTAAATTAGAATCCTGAGCGTCAGCGAGGGAAACAAACGAGCACAAGGTGAAAAATCTTTCCACTCGAGTGCAATACGTAACTTTTCATCCCACCTCAGCGAGGAAATGACAAAATGAAAAAGAAAACAATTTATAATGACAAAATATTTAAGCAATAAAACGTGAAAAACTAGAATGGCGCGAAGCACGCAAATAAAACAAAGAAACCAAGAAGGTTCCAAATTTAAATTTTTTCACAATTTAAAAAGTTCTAATCATAAATTTGGCACCATAGAGGTTACATTAAATAGGTTTAATGACGTTTTGAATTTACAATTATATTGAGTACTCATTATATGTGATGTTCTAAATTCAAATCTACTTTGCCGCTCAAGCGAATAAAATAGAATTTTCCAGCCAGATTTCGAAGCGCAAAATTACACTTTCCGAGGTGGTGGGATGAAAAGGTACTTTAACTACCTACTCTTCTACCAGTCCACCTCTATTTGTGGGGCCCCTAAAAATTCAGAATTATTGAGTTGAGATTCATCGGGAATACAGTTTTCTCAAAATGTGTTTCTAGGATTGAATGTATCTGACTTATTCTCCTCATTATCATTCTGCCAAAGGCATGTTTTCGTTGGGCAGAAAGGTAGAAATGAAATTAAAAAAATGTCTAAGTATTGGCCATAGACGCCATTACAAAATTACTGAAATTTCGTCTAAATTCGTTTAAATTTTGCAAGCAACCCAGCTAAAAACAGACATTGTATGGTGCTTTAACTACCAAAATAGATTGAACTGTGACCAACGCTCTGCTGAAGCGTCATTGACATTAGGATTTTCACGAGTTTAATCAAAGGTTACGTAATGACAATATTAACAAAACAAAGAACAAATATTGGAAATCTCATATTATTTTCTAAACTCAACAATGAGCTCCATTTCCAAATGTCTTAATTAGTTGTAGTGACCATTTTATAATTAGTTTATAAATAGTAATAGTGACCACTTCCGGATACTTTAAGTGTTATTATTATTGCCAGCTCATTCGCAATTATTACAACCTGCTAATGCACTTAAATTCAACAACTTAAAAATTAAATTAATTTGGTATATCTTATAATATCGAGCAAGGACTCGATGGCGGCTGAGATTGCCTCTTTACGATTTTAGCGATTCGATTGTGCAACTCGACCTCGGCTCGTGACGGGAATCGATCGTGAGCCGCCGCTTATCGCCGACCCAGTGTGTTAACTATGTGCTCGCTCATAAGCTTCTAACCAGTGTGTCAACATTGCTTTATGATTAACTCATGAAGATGTACATCTCTGTACATCTTCGAGAGCGTTCAGAGCGAGAGAGTTCAGGTTACCCAAATCTATCAAAT